TATATATATAGAATGCGTCTGCGTTCTTCATCAACTTTTTTAAAGAAAATGTATTTAGCGCACAAATCATTTGTGATTTTTATTTTTATATTTTTTGAAAAGTCAATGAATACCTAATCCTTAAAACGAGAAAGGACAATAAATTTGATTGACCTACTTAGGAATTCTTGTATCATATATCCTCCTGATGATGTGGCATAGCCATCGTAGTTTCCACTGTCGAATTAACGTAAGGAGTGAAGAAATGACGCACCTTGTAGTGACATGTTTGGCGCCCCATATGAAGAGCGCCATTTTGGGAAGATTGTTCATGCCGCGATGCGATTTTTTTTCCCGTACGAAACATTTGCATGAAACTTCACTCGAGCCATCTCGGATTGACTCGACTGAGTTCGATACGAGGAATAAGAGTAGACACTTCGCAATGATGATACAATAGACGATCCCCCCCCCCCATGCTCGGAAAAACGCTGGCGAGACTCTTGACGAGTATCTGCAGGCGCTTTCAATCCTCAGGAAAGATTGTAATTTTAAGGCTATAACTGTTAAGCAAGTCCGTAATGATTGCTTTAGGGACTCGTTTATCAGCGAGCAGTAAGGATTTAATGTAAGTAACTGGTAGCAAGTTGTCGGAATTCTTTTCAAACCAATGTGGATTATTATTGTTCTTCTTCTGCAGCTTTCATTGTTCTCTAGCATTCTTTGATATCAAAACACTCGGGTCTGCACTAATTTTGAGCTTTTAAACAAATATTTTTTATATAACATGCAGTAGGCCTAAAATTGAAATAAAATTTTAAAATTACTCTTACTTTTAGGTCGAACTGTGGCATAAACTTGATAATGAAGGTATACTCGAGGAAGAGTTAATCAGACATATTTGGAAAAGAGAGTTTAGCGAAGATGAAATTAATGTCTTCTTGGAACTGATGAAGGAATTTGGATTAATGTGCGAGCAGATCAAGGTTTGTTTAGGCCTATTAGTGATTTTTTTTCTATGACACTAATTTATGTAATTTTTCAATGTCAAACTAAAACTATCTATAGAGTACAACACTTGTTAAATGTTAACAAGTGTTAAACTTAATGGTTTATAATAGACTCTCTGGAATAGGCATTTTAAAACCTAATAATTTACAATGAAAATGTACAATAACCATAAAAGCTCGCATTAATCCAAGATACATTTAATCATCAATTAAAATTTACAAAGACAAATGAAGATACAACAACTTAATAATTACGTTAGACATTGAGATCAATGGTTTGTCACTCGAGGCAATGGATCCGTTTGACAGCATTTTGGGTCGCTGATAGTAACAGTATCATGTTTTATCGTTAACAACGTAGTACTCAATAATTGTGAGGATGAATCACCCATATTGCTTTGGTAAAGTTGATTACAGACGGAGATATAGAATTCTGTAATTACTAGACTTTTTATTGAGATCCAACTGTAAAAACATTATGATTTGCACTCGCAATACATTTTCTGACGATCCGTTTGCTTGGTCAAGTAGAATATAAATGTTTACATCGTAGTGTTTGTACAGATCATAATATTGGTTTTATAATTACCACAAGGAATAAGAAAGGTAATAGATATTATATTTATGGATCCATACAAAATTCTTCTAAGATATTAGAAATCACATTTTATTTAAATTTGTTTTTCTTTTAATTTGTATTTATAGTCAAAGACTCCATCTCGCTCGTTTTTCGTACCCTGTCGATCGAAATATAGTAAGGAAAAAGTAGCTATTACGCTGGATGGTGATCGGATGGTATCTATCTACATGACTTTTGATGGTTTTCTCATCGATAGAATCTTTCATTGCATAGTTGTCAGGTTGATTGAAAGGGTGCAAGCTACAAGCTACACTACCGTACCGAAATTATGCTACAACAAGGCAGTCATTGACATAGGGAAAGATCACACTCTCAGCTTAGGTCAAGTAATCATCGAAAACAAGCCTGCTGTGAAGGTATGTTGCGTGATATATTATCAAAATTATTCACATTTGAGAATATGTGAAAAGATACTAATAATTATATTTACACCACACTGATTTCGTGTCATTTTTGTCACTTTGTACAAAAACACGCAAAACCGGAAAGAGGATTTAAAAAAAACAACAATAAACAAAGACATATGAGTGAATAAGAAAACGCGAACTTATGTCGTTTAATGTTTTTTTCGCCGACAAGGGTAAGACAACAAACAGTAATCTATATATATATGATTTCAAAATAAAACATGCATTTAAAAAGAAGATATATAAATGATAACATTTAAAAAGTCATAGAACATCACTTATCGTTTAATCTCACAGTTGCTTTTATTGTTCATGAGCAAGCTCGGGAGGCTGATTGTTTTTATCTTTGAGTTCAGGTGGAGAAATTTATAATGTTTGAATTTTAAATGTTTAAAAAGATGGTACAGACAATATGTACAGTTATTGTGATTATAAACGTAATAGTAACCAAATTCACAAATGTAATTGATATTGGCAAATGAGAAAAAATTGTCAAGCGTCAATACTTTTAAATGACTCCAAACTTTTCGATATTTATGATTAGTTTGAAATATCACGCAATTCTGAGGTATCAAATGGTAACCCTGCAGACACAAAAGGACTCTCTCGTAATGTGTGCATACAGGTAATATTATTCGAATTTATAACTAAAATATATTTCAAAAATAAGATAACCCAATAGGTAGGTCTATCGTTGCAAACATAACTAGTATTTATCAGTTGATATCAACATAGTATTTTTTAAGTACTTTTTTGTTATAGTATTCTTCATTATAGTATTATCATTTTATGTCATTTATATGTCATATTGTTTATAGTTGTTGTTAATATTTCAAGGTGTTTGAGCATTTAAAAAAAGAGTTGAAAGTCTTGAAGTCTACAATGAAGTACACTAGTAGTGCGTTTCGTGTTCTGTGTTGGTCAGGTCACTGTGACTATCACTTTCAGAATATGGAAGAGTGTTTGAGGAATGATTCCATCCGATGCGGAAAGGTATCTCTAAAAACAAAAAAAATAGAGGCGCTGTTCAATAATAAGACAGGTAGGTAACACCGACCTCTTCGAAAATATTATGTAAATATGTTTTATACTATATGTATATTTTGAAATAAAAGTTTAATCTTTCAGTATAACGTGTTTTATAATTACTTTCTTGTTTCTGTATTACTATTTTTTAGGTGGTAATCAAATTTTTCTAGAGGATGACGATCTGTTTCTTATAAGTAAAGACGTGGGAAATGAATGGACAAGTCTTGGGGTCAGATTGGGCCTCAGTTGGAACAGGATAAATCAAATCTCTACGTATCACAGTAAACGACTGCCGGAGTGTACATTGAAGATGCTTACAGAATGGAGAGATAAACAGATGCCCGAGGCAAATCAAGTGAGGATCATGGCCAAAGCTTTAATAAAGGAAGAACGCATAGATCTTGCTAACAAGCTCCTTGACTCACAGCGAAATTTAAAATCAGATGAAAAAAGATCAGCAGGTACGTTACCTCAACAACAGAATGGTTAGTAGTCCTAATGTATTATGAATGCTGATATGATTTCGTATACTGGATGGTATTCGTATATTCGATATGGAACCATATATTAAGTTAATTAAAAATACCAAAGGATGTTATCTTAGTGTAGTTATTTTGTTCTCTGTTTACATATTGTATTTTACAAAGACAAAAACAATTACCATGTTTCAGTGATATCTTTATTCCCTAAGATCATGTATTGGCATTAGTGTTAATATCATGTACATATTTATTCCTAGTTTGATCTAAACATTTTCTCATACAATGTTTATGTTATTATACATTTGTAATAAGCATTATCGTTGTTAATTTATATTTTGTTTCATTTTTATAATCAGCCGATTCTACCTAAATGACCTGATAGTTTCAGTTTTGGTGACAAATAATCGTCATGATAGTCATGATGACGTCACCATACCTGATTAGGGGATTTTCAGATGATTGATGTCGATGGTGCTGGCACCAGTATAGAAGTGAATCAGCATTTTATTTGTCACCGAAACTGATCTTTTAGGTAGAATCGGTTGTTTTAAATGTCAACATGTTCATTAATAGTTATCACCACTATCGTTGGTTTTCATCGTTATAGTACCTGTCCTGTCATGGGCGTGATTAATTTTATGGTCGTTATTTGAATTTTCGTTCTGTTAGGTATGCTAATAATATAATTTGGAAATGATGTAGATGCTATAATTGTCTTTCAGGTTACTTGACTGATGGGCATATGCTGCTTATCGCCAAGAAACTTAAAGCCGGTGAAATGAGAATCCTTGGCACGACTCTTGGCATAAGTGACAGTGAATTAGATAAAATCAAGTATAATTTTGGACAATCAATTTTAGACGCCACTATAGAAATGTTGGTAAAATGGAGAGAAAGACAAGATCCTAACGAAAATCACCTCGACACGCTGAGTAATGCATTGAACAATATTGAAAGACGTGATATAACTATGACACTTGAAACTGAATGCCAATAGTAATGTTAATGGTAATAATATCAATTGGTCAACAAGTGCCTGAAGGAAAAATTATAGGTAAATTGTTGATAAAGGATGACGAAAATCAGCGAATATGTATTTACCTGATCTGGTAAGTTACTCGTTTTTTTTATTAGGGTATTGGTGTAATTGTTATACCAATAGAGTATTAGTATCTTAATATCATTAACTTTATAACTAGAATAGATTAATAAATAGATCATTAACTATCAGAAACCGCATGCCAAGCAATTAAATCTTACGATAGTCAAACTCGTGTTTACAACATTACGTATATCTGTTAAGAATACAATATATGTAAAATATGTAAAATTATTAAGATTGTAAATAAATATTTTAAAAATGTTATTTAACGTTTTATCGACGTGTCCATACCTTCTAAAATATTTGTATACAACATTCTACAAACGAAAAGTATAGCTACTTATGAAACGTATTTATAACTCGTTAAATAACGTATTTTCCACGTAGCAATGAAGTTGTTAAATGTGTTCTTTAAATGTTCCAAAACTAAAATAAATCCAGAATTTCGGACTTTTAGTATGTTATTACATGTAGGTTATAATTATTTTAGAAACAGAAAACGTAAAATTGGTTTCTGTTGCAATTTCTTCTGGGTCTATATTCTATTTTAATGGTGTATAACTTTTAGATATTCGTTTATGTAACGTATCAAATAGAACTTACCATGTTTCCATCAAACGTTTAAAACGACCATGTAGATAATCTAATTTCGTTAGGGCACTATTGAAAAATATTAACCCAGAGAAGTAATGATTTCTTAATAAAAGCATGAAGGAGATTTTTGGATGCAATTCCTCCAAAGTGTCGTCAATAATTATTTTACAGATCATTCCTCACGGTTATATTAACAATGAAATTGGTGATTTTGAGGTCAGATTGTACATTTCAGTATTCAGTAAAAATTTATTTGACCATTGAATAGTTACATAATTTGATCATATAGGTCTAACTCAACTAAGATATAAATATCAATATTACATAGTACATTCCATATGGACTCCTCAGAACTCCACAGAGGTTGTTTTGGACGTCTAGAAAACAAACAGTTCGCTGGGCACCCATAGGGTGGTGTTATCTCGATGGGCCCCACGTTCAGCCCCTCCCCCACCCCTTCGGACGTGTCTGGAGACGTCCTGCCAGAGTTGTAAATGGCAGTTCAGTATTCAGTAAGAATTTATTTGATCATTGAATATTTACAAAATTTGATCGTATAACTAAATTAATATATAAATATTCATATTTTATAGTCCATTCCTTACGGTATATTAATGGTAATTTTTCTATTTTGTAAATATGCCTATTCATTAACAATTTATTTTACCATTGAATAGTTATATCATTTGATCGTATAACAAAACAAATAAATATCAATATTTTATAGTTTATTTCTTACCGGGTTATATTAACGGTAAAATTTGTGATTTGAGGATTGAGTTGTAAATTTCAGTAGGCCTATACGTTAGAATTTATTTCACAATTGTATAGTTACATATTTATTCTGAGATATAAATATCAATATTTTATAGTTCATTCCTTATGGTTATATTAACAGTAAAATTGGTGATTTAGAAGACAGACTTGTAAATTTTAGTATACTGTAAGAATTTATTTGACCACTGAATAGTTATATAATTTGATCTTATAGGCCTAACTCAATTAATATATAAACATCAATATTTTTTAGTTCATTGGTTATAATAACGGTAAAATTGGTGATTTTGAGGACAGATTTATAGATATTAGTATACAGTAAGAATTTGTTTTACCACCGAATAGTTACATAATTTGATCGTATGGTTTAACTCAACTAAAGATATAAATATCTACATTTTATAGTCCATTCCTTATGGTTATATTAACGGTAAAATTAGTAATTTTTAAGTCAGAGTTGTAAATTTCAGTGTATTCTGTATGACCATTGAGTAGTTACATAATTTGGAATTCCTGATGATGACATAATTAATGTCGAAATATTGAATCCCGACACAATGGCGTGCATTTCGATACTTGTAGTATGTATTATACTATCTTTGATTGTATAACAAAACAAATATAAAAATATCAATATTTTATAGTTAATTTCTTACCGGGTTATATTAACGGTAAAATTGGTGATTTTGAGGATTGAGTTCTAAATTTCAGTAGGCCTCTACATAAGAATTATTTCACAATTGTATAGCTACATATATATTATATAAATAGTGATATAAATATCACTACTTTATAGTAAATTCCTTATGTTTACATTAATGGTAAAATATACTTGCATAGATTGCATGTTTATTTTTTATTGCTTGTATGTTCCCTATTCAACTATGTGAAGCTGCATGTTGCATTTACAGAAATTCTTAAAAAATAACTTTAGTTTCATAATTAAAAGAAAGAAGCGTTTTTATTAATTGCTTTATTGTTACATTTAAATTTTAGTTTGATATTTCAACTTCAATAAGCATTATAATTAATTGTTATAAAGTTACATGGAACTCTTAGCTTTTAAATGTTTTTTGTATTTATTAGCACTGTATGCATGCATTAGTCATTTTGCAACTTTTCTTTTTATCAATATTTCGTGTGACAATGCATATTGTTCCTGTTACTGTTCCAATTTGATTTTTTTTTTCGATTTTGCATGTTATTGGTACAAAAATAACACAGACTATATTTACAAGTTGAATTTTTTAAATTTGTCCTTCATGCTTTACTTTTAACACTTTTCTTTCTTTATTGCTTAATAATTGTTCGTTTTTGTGTCCTCTTGTCCTTGTTTATATCTCCATTTTTTCAATCAAAGTAACTGTAATCAAAACAAACTATATCTTTAACCCCTTTTCTGAATATGATAGTTTTAATAAAGACCTCGACCCGGACATTCAATTGTATACAAATGATAACAACAATATCTAAATATTTCAACCCTATTGAATTTCGTAATATGGTAATTAATACTTATTTTATAGAATTTTTTTTTTAAATCCATTTTAGTTCCAGAAGAATGTAATTTGGACCCTATCTGTACCTAGAGTCATTGATAAAATATATTAACTTATTTAAAGATCGCCTCAGGGAAATAAATTAGTTAAATTTTCAAGATAATCTACAAATAAATCGGTTTTTAATAATATTGGAATGAGATAAATTGACGAGGCCTGTAGGGAACGTTTACACTTAACTGAAAAACTAAATACATACAGAAGGTAAAGACTAAATAATCGCTTCATGCATTTAACAAGAAAATACAATCGAAGTAACTCCTTTAGTTAGCTCAATATTTTTAAATCCTGTTGATTTGATATTTGATTTATTAGGTACTCAAAATTACAAAACATATAAAACAAGGACAATAGAGCACCAGGATTACCCATTAGGCCGACGATAGTCATGCTCATATTCAGTGGGGTCCTAATAAAACAAACACACATAAAGGACAGAAATAGATATTCAAAATTACAATAAAGAACATGCAAACAAGAATTATATATAAAATACATACTTTTGGAGTCCGTACTGAGCCCAAAAAATCCGCAATGAAAATATA